CCTGTGTCCCTGAGCTGGGGAGGGCACCAGCATCCTGTCCCCTGTGTCCCTGAGCTGGGGAGGGCACCAGCATCCTGTCCCCTGTGTCCCTGAGCCAGGGAGGGGACCGGCTCTCGCCTCTCCAACCCGAGGCCGTGGGGTTTGCAGAGGCTCTGTGAGCTGGGACTGGGACACGCTGTCCTCATCCACGTCCCTGCCCGTGTCCCTGTCCCCATCCCTGCCCGTGTCCCTGTCCCCATCCCTGCCCGTGTCCCTGTCCCCATCCCTGCTGTTCCTGTCCCCATCCCTGCCCGTGTCCCTGTCCCCGTGCCCAGGTGGCTCAGCTGGGCCATGCACAGCTCCGTGGGCTGGCCCTGGGCTTGCTGCCCCTCCTGTCCTGGAATCCCCCAAAGGCAGGGGCAGGCAGAGGGCAGCGGGGCGGGCGCTCCCCAGCCTGCTTCCAGCTCCAGCCTCCCCAGCAGGCCATTTTTAGCTCATCCATTCAGCTTCTGTTGCCATCCATAAAGCTTAGAATGTCAAATGTAATATTAAACGAGCAGTAGGACAGTGAAAAGAAAATGCCAGCGAAGTATTTAATAAATGGGAGTTGGAATTTACGTGGGAGGCCAGAGATGCTCCAAACGTTGCAGGGGGACAATAAACCCAAGCGAGCTGTCCCCAGACTATTGTTCCTTTGACAGGAGCAGGCTGCTTTGCAAAGAGACACCTGTTTCTCTAAGGAAGAGTAAAAGTAGCTGGAAAAGAAATGAGATGGAGTAATTACTTTCCCTTGGATCCTACTGTGGTGGAGTCATTCAGCTCCTGGGGACCATGCTGAAGAGAGGGGTGATGAGCTGGGCCTGGAGTCAGGGTCTCATGTCAGGCTCTCGAGCAGCTGGTGGAAATGTCCTAGAACAGGCTGTGACCCTGGCCAGCACCTGTGGCTCTTCCTCCCTCTCAGGGTGGGATTTTGCAGGTTTTGTGGGCCTTGGGCACTTCCAGGGATGGGGCAACCACAGCTTCTCTGTGCCAGGGCCTGTTCCAGAGCCTTTAATTCCAAGCCCCAGCCACTGATCAGTAGTGTGGTAGAGGAACAGACCCACGACTCAGTGTGTTTTTTAAAATAAGCTGAAAACCTCTCTGCTGCTGCCTGCTGTGGCTGGCCATGGTGTGAGTGGCATGTTGTCCCCAAGGTGATCGGAGCCCCACAGGCTCACGGGGCTGGCACAACAAAGTCTCCTTGTCTTTGGGTGGCTCAGTGGGGGTTTGTACATTGTGGGTATTTGGATATTTGCATTCTGCTTTCCTCAAAATAGCCCTGGTTTCCCTGGAAGGCTGTTAACCCTCCTGGGCTGAGGGCTGACAGCCTGTTTTGTTGTGCTGGGTGTAAGAGGCTTTTCACTCCCCAGCTCAGCCCTCCTGGGTTCCTGTGACTGAGACTGCTTTGCTTGACCCACGAGTACCCAGTGCAAGGTTAATTCTCCAAACTAGACTAAACAAAAATAGTGAATTTTAGTTTTCCTGCCTTTTTTTTCTTTTTTCTTTTTTCTTTTTTCTTTTTTCTTTTTTCTTTTTTTTTTTTTTTTTTTTTTTTTTTTTTTTTTTTTTTTTTTTTTTTTTTTAGCCTTAGAGTTAAACCTTTCTTTGTTGGGCTGCTGAAAGTGTAGCACATCCTCATAGGAGGAAGTGGAAAAAATCTGGAAATTATTAAGATGCCCAGAAACTCTGAATTGAAAGTTTGAGTCGGGTCCAGATGTGTGTACAAAGACCCTTATCAGGCAGCTCTTGGAGGTAATTTGGTGTGGAGCTGAGCCATAAATCCATACACATTTCCTCTTGGAGAAGCCCCATTGCACATGTTTGACATGTCACAAGCCCCTGTCACATGTTTGACATCCCTCCAGGGTTTTCCCCTTGAGGTAACTATGGCTTTGGAATGGTTCTGGCCATCCCCTTCCCTGTAAGGACAGGGCTGGATTCTGGCAGAAGAGCAGCCAGGCCTCTTTTCTTTCTGCTTTTGCTGTTGATGAAGAGGCACCATCCAGGCCCCCAGTGTTGTGCTTCCCTCCTGTTCCAGCATTGTCCCACTTTGCTGATGGGATGGTGCATGGGCAGCTTCCCAAAACTCATGGTCTGGCACTGGTGCCTGGGCAGTGTGACAGTCTCAGGCAGTTTCTCTCCCAGGACATCAGAGCAGGACCACGCTCCCAGTCCCATACCCCACATGTCATCCCTCACATGGAGAGAGAGTCTGGGTAACAGAGAATCTTCTTCCATATGGGGTATATTTGTTTACAGAGGCTCAGGAATTATTTTTCTTTCCTACTGGTGGCTTTTGCTTCCCCTCTAATCCTGGTTTAAGCCCCTCTGCAGTCAGTGCCATTCCCTTTGTACCCCTGTGTGCTGTGGAAATCAGAAATGGTGCCAGGCTCGCAGAGAGCAGCAGTGGGCTGGGTTGTGGTTGCAGAAGCTAATTACCAGATTCTTGTTTCTAACGGTGCTAATCCAAACTTCATTTCCCTGTTAATTGTGCATCCATCCAGGCTGGATGGGTTTTATCATCCTGGCTGTGCAGTGCCAGTGGCCCTGAGGTATAACCAGTGCTGCTGTGACACTGGGAGCAGTGGCCCTCCCAAAAGATGTGCTTGTGAAATGAAGTGACGTGACAAACTTCTGGTGCTCCCCCTGTCATTTGACCGGAGGAATCATCTGGGCAAACTCGTGTTAAATGACACTCAGTTAAAAATCAGAGGCACAAAGTCAGAGGCACAAAGCTCAAACCTGTGAATTCAGCCTGCAGCCCAGTGCTGAGGAGAGTGCAGGAGCTGTCTGTCTGCTGGGGAGTGAGATGACAGTGCCTGGGCAGGAACCATGGAGAAGTGCTGTATTTCTCCTTCTTCTGGGAGAAAGAGACTGGCTGGGGGCCCTGGGTGTCCCCTGGCAGCAGGGCTGGGCTGCTGTCTCACAGGGTGTTGGTAGTGGCACGTGGTTCCAGGGGCACGGAGCAACTTCCCAAGGCAGCAGGAGTAACTGAAAGTGAAAGAATGCAGATCCTTTATTAATAGGGTTTACAGAAATTTTCTGCTGGGTAGAAATATTGATTCTGTATTCCTATTTTAAAAGGAGCTTTTTGTAATGATCACTGGGAGTCGTTCTGTGTTATCGATTGCAATGGAGCCGTGCTGGAGCCCTCCCTCCATTCATCCTGCTCCCACAAGTGCCAGGTTCCCTTTCAGGAACACAGAACTTCTTAAATCAGCACTTCTGTCATTTGGGGGGCTGCAGTGGGAGGTTAGAGGGATGCACACGTTTGCTCTTTCAAACCTGGTTACGTTAGTCTGGAAGTTCACCTTTGAGCGGGAGGAGGTGTGGGGAGGGAGATGCTAAAAATAAACCTCCCCCCCTTAAGTAGATCAGTTCTGCATTTGACATTTACATGGAATTCATTTGCATCTCATTTGTACATGTTTCTGCTCAATAGGTAGAATGTAAGAAAGCACAACCTAAAGAAGTGATGTTTCCACCAGGGACGAGAGGAAGGGCACGTGGGTTGCCGTACACCATGGACGCTTTCATGCTAGGGATGGGAATGTTGGGTAAGTGCCACAGCCACCACTCGGAGCCTCTCGTCTCCCTCATTTCCAAACCCCTGTGCCACAGGGCTGAGCAAATCCCCGCACCTGTGTGGGCTGAAACTTTAGCAGGGGTGGAGTGAAGAAAATAATCCTGTCTGTGGTAAATGATTAACTCCCCCCCCCACACCCCCCCAGCCTGGAATATAAAAAATTTGCATTTAAATGGATGTTTTAAATAGCCTGTTTTACTCTTACTCGCAAAAATAGAATGATGAAAGATGCAGTGTGTTCATTCTGACTAAAAATGATCTCTCCCCTTTTTTAGAGGAATTGAGTCACACATTATTCCCCTTCTTTTAAAGGTAGCTTTGACAGTTCGGCATAGATAATTGAAAATCTTGCTGGTTCTTAAATGGCATGGATGGAGGAAGTGGGGGGATGCGTAACAGGACAGGTCGCAACAATAATTACAAGTTTCAAGGAGATGGAATGGTATTTTAGTCCTGAGTATTGTGTCCAGAAAATACTAATTAAATGGGATAAATGATATTTAATGGCAAATTCCTATTTGTGCACGAGGTCTATTTAGTTATAATTGGTTCTCATTTGTTTCTGCTTAGATAATTCTTTCTAAATAATGTGGCAACCCCAGATACTCTGTTCTCAGCCAAAATGCTGCTAATCCATTGCCAGTGTTTTTTTTTTTTTTTTAAAACACCGTATATTTTAAACTTTCTGCTCCCTTTGTATCCCTGGATTTCCCCTCCTGTGTAAGCGTGTGGGAATGGGAGGGCAATCTGGAGGTGACCCCAGGCAGCAGTGAGCCTTTCCCAGGCCAGGTCTCCCTTGAGGATGCTTTGACTTTCCTATGCTGGGTTTAGATGATCCCAGAAACCGAGCACAAAGCCCAGCCTTGGGATCTGGGTTGCCTCGAGCTCTGCTGAGCAGATTTGGGGGCTGGCTGAGATCCTGGAGGACCCCAGAGCCCCTGGGGTGAGCATCAGGCCAGAGGACCCAGCTCCTGCAAGGACCAGGCTGTTACACTGAGGTGTCTGACACCAGGCACTGCTTGATTTGATAGGAAGAACTTCTGCCATGTTTGCTTTATCTCAGAATTAATAGTACTTCTGTTGGTGTGGCTGGAGCGATCCATTTCTGGATGTGTAATCAGGTTATTTCAGCTGATCATCTGTTTTGCTGTCCCCACGCTCCACTGCCACCCTGCCCCATAGTGTTTGGAAATCACATTTTGTGCTTAAAATATTTATCTTGCTCTAGTCAGTCTGTGATTTCGTTACCTATGTGTTCCCAGCATGCCTGAGCCAGTGTACTTGATTTCTGCTGTTTCTCTTCCTTTTCCACCTGTGCTGCCTGAGGTCAGGCTGGTGGAGGTGGAGCTCTGTGTGCCTCTGTGCTGGCCTGTCCTGCTGGCTGCAGGGGGAGAGTCCAGCTCGCCTGGGAAGCCAGGAAGATCCATGGGCATCATCCTCCACCACGTGGCCTCAGCCCTTTTCCTTGCTGCTGGCACAGAGGGAACGGAGCTGGATCCACCCCAGTGTCCAGAAGGGAAAATTCAGCCCCTGGGTGCAGCGTGAGCCTGTTCCCACTGGGGCTGTCTCTCTGAGAAAGGATCATCTCAAGCTGTGAGAATTAAGGGAAGCAGCCCTCAGCGAGTGGAACTGCACCGAGGAAGGGCTGGGGCACCTGTAGGACCTGCTGGTCCCGCTGCAGTGGGGTCACCCTGAGCAGTGCAGCTCCAGCAAACCCTGCATTTCAGATCTGGGGACTGGCTGAGCATTAGTGATTGATCCATGGTGAAGGCCAGATGCTTCATTATCCACTCGAGCTGGTTTTTCATCTTCCAAGTTCCTGCTTGCTACCGTGGCACCGTGTTAAATAATTAAGTGCTAAACAAGGAAATTGCAGCACGGGAGAGCAGAGCTGCTGGATGGCCGTCAGAAAGCCCCGGTTTCAAAGGCTGCAGGGCCCATCCCTGCAGGAAGAGGGGCATAATTAACCCATCAAATGATCAGACACAGAGTTCCATCACTGCTGCTGCTGCTGCTGAGCGTTCTGTGGGGGCTCACGAGGCCAGGTCAGGTCTGCCCCGTGTCTTCTGTTCCGTGCCCAACTGGACTGCACCAGAGCAACTGGGGCTGCTCTGGAAGGGTTTTATACCTGTTTCCAGAAGCCCTTGCTCAAGGTCACCTTCTCCAGCTGATGTTCATGGGCAGAGGAGGGAATCGGAGGAACGAAGGCACGAGACAACCCCAAGGAAGGAGCAGGGAACGACTCCCTCCAAAGCTATTAAGGAAGTTGGTCTTTTTCATTAATCACAGCCTCCCCAAGGAGCCTGCAGCAGCCAGGGTCTAAAGGTGCGCAGGCAGCCGCTTCTGTGATGATTTGGTTGATTGGAGCAAAATTAAAGTGTTCTGGAAGGATTTTTTGACTGGGAGAGCAGAGGCAGGCTGAGCCTTCTGCCAGGACGGCTGCTGCGCTGTCTGGGGCTCGGGCTGCTGGTGGGACACGCTGGTCTCAGGGAGAGCAGGGGCTTTAATGAGCCTCTCTGAAAGAGTGGAGCAGATCCAGTTCCACTGCTCTCCCTGTCAGCAGGAAGAGCTGCTCCCCAGCCCCGTGGATGCTCACAGACAGGCCCTGTGTGCCCCCCCAGTTTGGTGACCAGGAAACTCCTCTGTGCCTGGAGCCTCAGACTGGCACCTGGCCCTGGTGTGCAGACCAGGAGCCCTGTCACCAAGGGCACGGGGGTGTCACAGCGCTGCCCCGGAGCTTTTTGCACTCTGGTCAGCTCTGTGCCTGAAAACTTGTAAAGAAGAAAGCAACAAGGAGCAACATTAAGAGGAGATGGGTTTTGTCTCCCATTGCATCTGAAGCTGCTCTTGTGTCTGGGACACTGCAGTCACCAGTGGTGACACACAGCTTTGGAGGTGCCTTGAGCTGGGGCTGGCAGCACTCATTTCTCCTGGTGATGGGCATCATCCTGGTGTTTAATCTTCAAACTGGGCTCCTTTTAGCTGGCAAACCACTCCGGAGATGGAAGCAGTCGGCCCCCAAGCTCACAGCCCGTGGTGCTGGAGCGATGTGTGGTGGAACACGATTTGGGCAGGTCTCTGGCAGGGCTCTGTGTTCCTGCTCACGCTCAGTCTAGGTAGGCTGAGCTCATGCATTAGAGAAGCTTGTGCCCTTCAAAGAAAGTCATTCCTTTTTCCACCAGACACTGTTCAAGGGAGCAGCAGCTGCAGCTCAGAGCAACATTTGGAGACAACAGCTTCCTTGCATTTTCTGGAGCATTTGAACTAATTTTGCATGGGTCTCCTGGCTCCTGTGTGCTCAGCATTCCCACATATTGACCATGAGCTTTTGTCCACCCCATTAGCAAATTTTAAAATGAAGAGACATTTCCACAGCCTGGACAGAAGCTGGGTAGAAGTAGTGGTGTGAAATTGCTCTGACTGCTGGTTTGAGGTCTGCCTCCGTGGACAGGACAGTCTTGCTTTGAAGGAGGCGATCCGGTCAACACTTGGATTTTTGGTTTCCTTACAAGGGATTGGTCACTCCCCAGGACTGCCAAGGCAAATCAGCCTCTCTGTGCCCAGTGCAGGATGAGGATGGCACCTAATGGGAATGTTGGGTAGGTCAGCATGGCCATCATTTGGCCTGATGAAGTGTCCATGTAGGTGTGGTGTTAGACACCACTGATATTCAGCCAGGCAATGTCCCCACGAGGATCAGACTCGAGGATCAGGCTTCGAGTCGTTAGAGCAGAGCTGGGCACTGCAGCAGTAAATGAAGAGGAAAATTGAAGTAATGTTGTATTATAAATTTATGATTTCATCTGCCTGCCTTTGAGAGAGCCGAGTGCTGGCAGTGCCAGCAGAGCCCCCGGGCAGCTTGGCTGGTGCTGTGGCTGTCAGGCACAGCCAGGTTTGGCCAGGGCTGCCCTGGGGTCAGAGCCAGGACCATTCCAGGGCACGCAGCAGAAGAGGTGGCATCCAGAGCACTGTGGGCAGCTGCCATCCCCATGTGCTGGTCTGGCTGGGGCCACGGGTACCACACCTGAGAGCTCAGGTGCTGCCCAGCACGTCAGCCCCTGTGCCCTGACACTTGTGAGCTGGCAGATCTGCTTCAGAACTGTCTGAGACACAGCAAACTGAATTCCTCCTCTTGGCAAGGAGAGAGGGGCTGCAGTGGCCGCTGCAGAGTGATTTTTCAATGGTGTTAATGGCGCTACTTACTTAGCAAACAATCCATTTATCAATAGTGCTGTTAAAAAAAAAAAAAAAAGGAAAAAAGGTTTGTAAAGCTTAACTCTGAAAGATCTGACTTAATGACAGAGGTGATTAATTTCTGCGGGAATCCAGCTGTTGAGCTGTGAAAGGAGGGCTAAGCAGTGTGTACATATCCCCGTGCTGTCCGGGCGTCGCGGGGCTGCCTTCCCTGGCTCTGCCTAATCCCATCATCAGGATTCATCCAAGCATTTTTATCTTCCAGTTTTCCATTATGATTTATAGTACGCTGCGTGTATGTGTAAATGTGATTGGAAGTGGAGGGGCTTGCTGCAGCAGGAAGGCAGCGAGTGATGGATGGGTGTGTTACAGGGTGAATAAAAGCAGGCACAGCAGCCCCCCAGAAGAGCCATCCGGCTGCTGAGCGTGTTCTCAGGCTCCAGCCCAGCTCCTGCCGAGATTCCCACTCTCTTCAGACTGCAGGAGAGAACTTTCCCTGATGGGTTCGTGGTTTGGAGAGGGCTGACGCTGAGCCTCCATGTGTGGTGCACTGGAATTGTGCAGGGTGATGCCTGTTTTTAGGAAAACTGAGCGAGGAAATGTTGAGGATCAGTGTGAGGTTAGAATTTTGGGAAACCCCCTGAGTGTAAAGGACACCTTGGGACATTGGCCATCCTGGGGGCACCGTGGGGCCAGAGGGAATGGCTGTGGGGAAGCCCAAACAGGGGCTGTCACAGTGTGTGACCCCAGGGTGCTGCCAGCCCAAACAGCCAGGGGTCAGTGGGACACCCAGCACGTTCATCCACCAACAGGAGACTGAAACCAGCAGAGTTACCACTTCTGCCTTCACTGAGGTGCTTTTATTCAAATGCTCTCAAATGAACTTTTCTCCTAACAAACCTCCCAAAGCTGCCCGAGGTCGGAAGAAGGGGTGGGTCTTCAGGAGCACTCGGGCAGCTTCCTTTTACTTTCCTGAAAAATTAAAAGCTCTTTGACTCCCTGGCCCGTTGCTGCTGCTGCCTCCAGCTTTGATGTGTTAACTGTTGTCCTTCACACTCCCGGGATAAAGAATTACTACTACCTTAATCTCCAACTGTCAATAGCTCTGAAGCAAAGTACATTCATTGTAAGCTCTCCAAATGTCAGAGCAAACCCGTGTTATGTGTTTAGCCTTAGCATTTGGCATTTACTCTTCCAGCTAACAAGTATGCACAGTCCTTGGGCTCCAGACACCAAAGTGCATGTTAATTACCAGAGTGACAGGGCTCCTGCTCGGAGCTGGGCCAGCGCCGCCAGCTCGAGATGTTTCTATTCAGGATAATGATGAAACCTCTCTGCAGTTTGGCATGAGCGGAATAAATCTGATTTTTTAATACCCTTCGTAAAATTAGGTCTCACCCAGCCTCCCTATCATTGTGTGTTGTGTTAAAAACAAACAAACAAAATGTTAAAAAAACCCCTTCATTAATCCTCAAACTTCTCTCTCTTTTTTGTTTTGTTTTTTTTTACATTTCTCTGATCAAGGTTACCCGAATTTTGTTGCAACGTATGGCCGAGGATATCCTGGATTTGCCCCAAGTTACAGTTATCAGTTCCCAGGTACGTACATTTCATTTGCAGATATGCTTATTTCCCCTCTTTCCTTCTTTTTTTTTTTTTTTTTTTTTTTTTTTCTTTGGTTTTTTTTTTTTTTTTTTTTTTTTTTTTTTCTTGGGTTTTTTTTTTCCTTTTTTAAGTCCGTAGCTGCAAGCTGAGACAGGCAAGTCTGCAGGGAGCATCTCACACAACAGCAATTTATTTATTTCTTTTTTTAATTTTAAAGTAGACCTTTATAGCGACATATTGTCAACACTTTTTTTTTTTATTTCCCTAATGTATAAATTGGTACTGGTTATTTGAAAACAAAACTTCTTAAATTAAAACATAAAAAAAAAAAAAAGCAAGAGAGATCACTGTAGAGCTGTTACCCTGCCTTTGATGGGCTTTTCCTTCCGTAGATGCTCTAGAGCTACTACACACAGACACGCACACGCACACAGGGACCCGCACACTGCTCCCCGTGCTGGCCTGTGGTAAGTGAGCGCTCGCTCCCGGGTGCAAATCCCACCCTGCTGGGTCCTGGGCAGCTCTGGGGGTCCCAGCTCGGGGGTCCCCAGGAGCCCTGCCCAGCCGCGTGTGGCTGGGCTCGGGGTGGGTCCCCTCGCGGAGCCGGGGGCAGCGGGGCCGTGGAGCTGCAGGACAGGACGGTGTGGGCTGGAAGGGCCCTTCAGAGCTCCTGCAGCGAGCAGGGCACCCTGCACCAGCTCGGCTTGCTGAGAGCCCCGTCCAGCCCGGCCTTGGGCACTTCCAGGGATGGGGCATCCCACGAAGCCCACCCAAACCCGGCCCTTCCAGCACGTCCCGCAGCGGGACGGCACCGCCAGGACTGGGTTTGCTTTCACCCAGCAGAGCAGGGGCTTTGCTCTGTTTGTGGCTGCAGCCCCAGCTGGCCCCCTCGGCGGGGAGAGCCCCGAGGTCTGAGCAGCCTGGTCACGGGTGGCGTGTGCTCCCCCGGCTCAGAGCGCAGGGCTGGCACCCTGGGGCGACAGGGACACCCAGTGAAGGCCCTGCGGGAGCAGGGAGGGCAGCAGGGAAAGCAGCACCCCCCAGGAGACTCCTCTAGGGCGGGTGAGGACGTGGGCAGTGCTTGGCTACGCCTGCAGCGTGCTGGGGCAGACAGGGAGCCGTGTGTGCAGCCCTAGGTCATTAGGATGAGACCCTGCTTAGGAAAAATACGGATTGTTGTCATCTGTAGTTAAGCAGTGTCCTCGTGATGGGGTTGTTGTGCAGCTGTTTCTTGCAGGACTGGTAACACTGAGGGTGTGTTTACCTGAATTCACAAACGCCAGGGCTCTTCTGAAAGCTGAGCCGCCTCTTCCCACCTCTGGTACATTTTCCCACCTGGAGCAGGCCAGGTCTGAAGCAGCTGGGGTGTCAGGCAGGCAGCAGAGCTGCTGGGGTGAACGGTGCTGGTGGGGAGCAGGCAGCTGCCCCAGATCCAGGTGACACCACCCCTGGTTCCGCTGGAAGCAGCGGGACAGTCGGATCTGGCAGGGTTGCAGCCAGGAGCTGGAGGGGAGGAGGCTCCAGCAGGTGTTTGTGTGTTGTCTCAGGCTCTGACTCCTCACAATTCCCCTGTACCTGCTGATTCATACGAAGGCATTGAAGGAGAGACACCTTTGATAGGTTTAATGTCAGAAATCTGCAGAGGTTGGATGAGTTTAATTATAAACATGTCTAAAGCGAACGTGTTTGCTCACTGACAGCAAAGGCACCCTTTGACTCAACCCCTTCTTAGATGTATTTTTATTAAGGGCATGTGTTTACCAAAGCAGGACTTCCAGTTACTGCCTGGTTATTTTCAGTCTCGTGCAGAGATTGAATATGGAAAAAAAATCCAAGGGGGCTGTGCCCACCAGAAAGCTGCGGGTGCCAGGGGAGCCAGGCAGCGTCAGGAGATGCTCAGGGCCCTGTCTCACCTTGCTGAGTTCCCCTGCCCCAGCTCTCTGCCCCTGTGGATCAGTTACTCCTTAGCAGCTTTCCAGAGTTGGGAGCTTCTCAAGTGGTTTGGGGCTCAGGTCTCCAGCATGACAACCTGCAGAGCGTGCAGGTGGGAGCTGTGGGGAGTGGTGCAGCAGCAGGATGGGCTGTCCCCACTGCTGCAGCAGTGTTTGGGGCAGAGAGCCCAGTGCCACGGGGCACAGCTTGGCGCCAGGGAGCCTTTCAGGAGCAGGGCAGGAGTAAGGTGTCAGGTAAAACCTCGGCGTGGTGATTTGGAGGGACAAGTATTGGCTGTTTCTGCAGGAGCATCCCAGGTCCGAGCTGCCTCCTGCCCTGGATGCATCGGTGCTGCAGCCTCAGTAAAATACACAGAAAAAGGGTCAGTCACACTCTGGGCTGCTCCCAGGGGCTCTGCAGGGTTTGACACAGACAGTCCTGTCCCCCTGCAGTGCTCCTGTGGCTGGGCTCACCCCACAGGGCTGTCACTGCACGGTCCCTGGGCAGTCTGTGCTCCCCAGTTACTACTGCAGTCTGTTAAAGCCAGAAAAAGGAGTTCCCTTCTGATTGAACTGTCCTGATGGTTTTTCCTGTTGTCCAAGTGAATGAGGTACAAGTGCCAAGACCCACCTATCTGCATTCCCATTCCCTTGTCCCTGTCCCTCAGGGGCTGTCCCATGTCCTCTCCCATGCATGGGACAGCCCCTGGCTCCAGGGGCAAGCCACACAACCCTTTGGCAACTGCTCTATCTCCTCCCATCCCCTTACTCCTCCCAGCCCTTCCTCATGCAGTACATTGCCTCTTTTTTTTTTTTTTTTTTTTTTTTTTTTT